TATAGACTGAGCAGGCAGAGCTAAGAGTACTGGGGGTGAGGCCATGACAGCCAGCTCCACAGGTCCTACAAATTTTATTTATTTAACAACATTTATATGTTGTTATATGTTATAAATATATAATATTTATATTTACTAGAGCAAAAGACCTCTAAGCGGTTTACGAGACAGTCTGAAATAGTCTTTCAAAATACCAACAAAAAACAAATGTTAAAAATGAGTGACATAAAAATGTTTAAAATGTAAAATAAACAGGAAATACCTTTACCTACTGAAAAGGCTTGCAGGAACAAAAAAGTTTTCGATGGGAACCAAAAACAATACAGTGCCTGATAAAAATGGGAAAGGAATTTAAAGTCTAGGTGTCGTCACAGTAAAAGATCCATTTCTTGCAAGGGTAGATGAAGATTGGTAACAGGAAGAAAGCTTGAGAACATGCAATGTCTTTTAAGAAGTGGAAATTAACAAATGAGGCAGACATGACAACTACTCAATCTGATGAGGTGGAAAGGACTTGTTTTCTTTCTTGATCACTGCTTCTTCTCTCACGAGGCAGATCTTGGTATCAATGCCGGATCATTTACATTCAGAACACGCATTTCCTGCTGCATTCCTCACCCGCAACAATGGAGCCATTTGTATCTGATACATTTTAAACACGCATATAGTGAACAGTGACTCTGACCTCTGCTCACTAAGTCTGACCTGTAGGCTTCCATATTGCTCTGTCAACAGTGGGGGGAACTGAGGACCAAAACTAGGATAAGGAGGTACTTGGCAGCATACATCCCTCCCAGTCTGAGGACCCCTTTGAGGGTGGGCCAGACCCTGAACCTTTGAGCATGTGCAGTGTGCCTTTTCTTTGGGGCAGCCACAGGTTTTCCTCACAGGCCTGGGGGAAGAAAACAGGATTCCGAGTTCAAAGGTGAGATTGCAAGGCAGGCTTAAGCATGTCTCATTTTTGGAATTTAAGCGCCAGTTCCTGTCATTTTTTCCCCCCCCCCCCCCCGCTTTAAATGCACAGGCATTTGCTGGTAGGAATAAAACAAAGGAAATGAGCCCCTCAAAAAAAAAAGGAGGTAAGCAATCAAGGAACATAAATAAACAGAAGGGTAATGCTGGAGAGTGTTTGACTCTTATATGAAATATAGACTGCTTCCTCTCAGAATGTCTGCAGGTGGAAGAAACTTTGCAATGTCCTGTACATGAGGAGGAAAGAGGAAGGGAGAGCTTCACTCTGCGCACAAGGGGTCCTCCCAGCCACTCAGTCTTTGTAATGCACATAGTTCAGCACTTTGATCTGGCAATTTAAAGGTTCCCGTTCTTCTTTATGTGCACTTCGTGAAACATTTTCTCTTCTTGCACACAAAAAAATCACAGCATTCTTTTGCTACGTTCAAGGACGTTATGTAAGCTTTGTCAATCTGACTTTTAGATGGAAAGGATGTTCAGTTATATCTAAGCTCCCTGATGACTGTACGGTATAGTCTAACTTTATGCTTCCTCTTTCATTTTAAAAGCCAAATGTTTGGTTCTTCAAATAGTGGGGACACCGGCGAATTGGGTTTCAACTTAGAGTTGCCATATTTTAAAACTCAGCATTTTTTCAGTGTTTTCCACCCAAATTCTGTTTATGAGGGCTGAGTACTGACAATTTTAAGTATATTTTATTATTATATTATATTATATTATATTATATTATATTATTTATTATATTTTATATTATATGGTAGAACCTTGATTCTCGAACGGTTTAGTTGATGAACAAATCGGCTCCTGAAAGCCAAAAGCCCAGAAGTAAGTGTTCCGATTTTCAAACATTTTTCAGAGGCCGAACGTCTGACACGGCTTCTGCTTGAGTGCAGGAAGCTCCTGCAGCCAATCAGAAGCCACGCCTTGGTTTTCGAATGTTTTGGAAGTCGAACGGACTTCTGGAAGGGATTGTGTTCGCGAACAAGGTACCTCTGTACAGTGGTACCTCCGGTTACATACGCTCCAGGTTACATACGCTTCAGATTACAGACTCCGCTAACCCAGAAATAGTACCTCAGGTTAAGAACTTTGCTTCAGGATAAGAACAGAAATCGAGCTCCGGCGGCGTGGCAGCAGTGGGAGGCCCCATTAGCTAAAGTGATGCTTCAGGTTAAGAACAGTTTCAGGTTAAGAACGGACCTCTGGAACGAATTAAGTACTTAACCCGAGGTACCACTGTAATATGTAATTTATTATATTTACCATATTATACTATATCTTTTTCTGTCCCTCTTTTTTATTTGTTCTTTCACCACCTTATCTTTTATAACTGACATTCTTTCAATAAAATATTAACAATAATTCAAAAATGATTCGGATGGCTAGGGCAGGATGTGGGGGTGACTCTCCTCACCCATTGCCCCACCCATCAAAACGCATGTTCTCCTCAGTCTACCGGACCGCGGCCTGCCAGGCATTTCACACCCACCTGCTTCACACCTGATGTCATACATAATGTCAGGTGTGAGGTGCAAACAGTCACGGGTTCAAAGATACAATCAGGAGCTGTTGATTAAGGTGTGCCCTTCTTGGCACCAGCTGATTGGGGGTGATTTTTTGCCTTGCTCTAGGAGCTGGAAACTTTTCCACTGAAACCACCGCTAAAATGGTTTCCATGGAAACTACTGGAGCAAGGTACACACCCATCAGCTGATGAGTGGTGAGGATGCACCTTGTTTTGGGAGCATTTTCTAGTGAATGGGGAATGCAGAGCTCCATTTCATACAGAGTGGCTTTGAACCCAGAGTACCGATTGAAGCAGAAAGATCACAGAGCAATTCAGAAACGGATCAGGGTGTGTGTGTGTGTTTGTGTTTAAGGCACAGTTTCAAGTTGAATATTGGGTCCTGTGTGCACACCCCTTCAGCCAGCGTAGCCAATGGTCAGGAAAGATGGGAGTTGTATGCCAACGAGATTCCAAGGAATGTGTAAACAGAGTCTCTATCAGTCAATGTTTCAGCTGTTGACTCCTAGAAAACAGATTTTCCCCTATGCATATGGGGCATCCAAAAACAGATTAGCAGAACAGCCTCCTCTTGAGACAGTCTTATTATAGCATTTTCCAATGAATTTATCACAGCATATTATGAGCATCCCGATTTGATTCTTTTGCCAATGAATTGACTTCCTAGAATGGAGTTCAGACACAACCCTGCAGAAATGGACCACTTTCGTTTCCTGTTGATTTGAATGGAAGAAATTTTTTAATCGAAGAAATTAGACATATACACAACCTGAGCATAGGATGGGAGCCCCCACAGCCAGTGGCGGAGCTTCATGCTCCGGCACTGGGATGCGGAGAGCAGATGGGGGCATGGCTGGCGTGCATCCCGGAGGCGTGGCACGCACCCTGGGGTGTGGCGTGTCACCTGTGGGGGGGTGGCATGCATCCTCGGGGTGTGGCGCACCGCCTGTAGGGGTGTGGTGCCCAGCATGGGCAGGGAGGCAGCTGCGACGGCATCCCACTGGGATTGTGCTGCCGGGGGTGGTGCACTCCCCCCCCATGCCTCTTCCTCCACCAGTGCCCACAGCATGAAAACCCCCAACAGAGCTTGCTTCCCCATTACATTTCCAGAGAAGCCCCAATGTTCAGCACAGAGCAAGACATGTCTCTGTGTCTCCAGCTTCCAGCCTTCTTTCAGCTCATTCACAGCTTTGGCTATTGTCCTCCTACCCAAGATCACATGGCCACCAGCCAGGTGAGGGGAGTAGGAGGGAATGACTACCCCATTTCCTGGAGGGCACCGTCACTCGGTTCATTTTTGAGATGCTGATGAGCATGGCCAGCTAAAGCCATAAAGCTCAGCAAAAGGGCTAGTTTGGCAGGATTCCCTTTCTGCATTCACAGGAACAGTGCTGAAGGCTTGGAAGAGGACCCTGGGTTCTATCCAGACTGACACCCCCCAAAAAAGAAACTCATAAAAAGTTTATCGTTATTTCTTTTGAAACCTACCGTGAGATCATGGACAAAGTCTATAAATGTAAATAATAATAATAATAATAATAATAATAATAATAGGTGTGTTACAAACCATTGTTGGCATCCATCTGTCTTGGGAGACAATTCAAGACTTTACCCATTGGGGGTAAAGTCAAATTGTTGGAGAGTTACAGTACCTGATGTGGCTATAGAGAGAAATATGGATGTGTTTTATTGCACTTGGGGCAGATGAAGGCATCTGGCTTTGCTATTACATATACAAATCATATTTATCGTGCTGCTGCCGGAACTTGCATTAAGCCTGTTTCACAAGTATGGGGAGTCTAGAACCCCATACTTTTTGTTCCCATCATCCATTGACCATGCTAGCTGGGGCTGATGAGAGCTGGAAGACTGCAGTTTCCCATCCCTGATGCAGAAAACATGTGGCAACAAAAGGTGGCGGCAGAAAACCAGAATATGAGAAAGAAAAACACGAAAACCAATATTAAGTGGTTACTGAAATTAAATATAAATAAATTGGAGATAAAGCCAGTTTGGTACAAAACTGGGGTATCAAAGGAGCAGGGGCTAAGTGCACCTTTGCACTTGTCTTATCACAAGTGGTTATGTTTGTGTAAGAGAGAAGTCTTGACTGATCCCTGTGATAAGCATCACTGTTGACACCAGGAACAACTAACTGTTTGCAAATGTGGCTCCAGAAACATGAGAACTGTTGGGAGACCCACCATAAGGTGTTTTGTGTGGTGCAATGCGGTCATGAGTTGAAAACTAACAACCACCCAATTGTGCAACTCACAAACAAAACAAGACCATTTAGGGACATCCAACCTCGGAAAGAGCACCAAATATCAGCCTCATGCCCCTTGTGTCTTTCCCAGATAATAAATTTCTTCCTTTTTTTGGTCCCTCGTGGCTGAAAAAGGCTTGGTGAAGAAAAGGAGTTAATTCAAGGCTCATTAGTTTATTTTTAGTCACTCGAGATCTGAAGGCTTTGAGCAGACTTCCCTTTTCTAATAGGACATGCCTTCCTGTGTAGCGAGGCTGTCCGCTGACCTCACTCCCGGCTGGAAGGTGGTACTGATCCATGACAGAGATCCTGTGAGGGCTTTGAAAGCTAAATAGGAACCAGAAGAAAGTGGTATCATGCTTAGCTGGTGATTAGCCCTGGAAGCAAAGTTCAACTGTGACTTTTTAGGGAGGAAGGAGGAAGGAGGAAGGCCGTCGTAACAAACAAGCACTTCCTGCATTTGCCTGGAAGAATCCAATCATCCCACTTTTGGTATAATAAGGACATTACTGCTAATTTGCCGGTAGCTGGGAGGGAATTTCTGCTCTTAGCTGTGACGGCTCTGTGGCAACTGTTTCGTTTTAAATAGAAATTTAGCCATGAACGTGCAGCTTTTTTAAAGGGGGAAAAAAAGAATAAAGGAAAAGAAAGAAAGTTGAGCCGTAATTGAAGTGCATTAATGGTAATTACTTCTTTCTTTCACTCATCATTCTGTCAGAGGAATCCATTATCCTGCCATCTTGATGTTTCTGCAAAATTGCTCTTCCCTGTGGATGTGCAGAGACATAAGGAAATCACAGCTTTATTCTATAAAATGTCCCTAATGCTTGCCCATTCTGTCCGTACTTGTTTTCCCTCCCATGGGAAACAACAGCACATACCCAAAAAATGCACAATGCTGGGGGGGGGGTGTTTCTTTTTCTATCCTACTCTGTTAAGTAATCGGAGAACAAAAGTGTGAGCTGTTACAGAACTGTAATTGTGCCTCAGCTCTTCTGTGAGGGTGGCAACAGGTATTGTCTTCCGCCTAGGTCATATGACAAGTAGTAATATTCTCTGCCGTCATCGTGATCTGAAGGAGCTTCATTAACATGTGACCTCAAAATTCTGCATCATCCCCCTCCCACTGATGCCAAAGTTTAGTGCTAGCTTTGTGCCACAAACCCCATGTTTTGTGCCACCCCAAAAACTGAGTAATTTGAAATCTGGGTCACACGGTAATACCAAATCGCATCCCCGCATTGCTTAAATGTGCAGCTCCAAGCAGAGTGTGTGTGTCACGTTTTGGACCAATGTGCATAAAAGCCAGTTGTGAAATTTACCAGATAACCCAGTTAACAAGTAACTACATTTGAGATCGCCTTTGAGCTTGAGGTCCAGGCAAATTGGTTCTTCTGCTTCCCCCAGTCTGGCCTGGATGGGAGATTGTTGTAGGATCATCCATCTGCCATCTCTAATTGCATCATAGAAGGAAGGCGAGGATATACTGTACATGTCATAAATGAATATAATCACTATCTGCAGTTGCATTAAGGCAACAGAAAGATGACCAATAAAAACCCACACGCCAACATCAAAAGGATAATAGAAATTAAAGTGAAGTAGAATAATAAGTCAGGTTCACTTAGAAAGGGGGAGGATTGCCTGACAAAAATGAAGACATTATCAAAAGAAAAGAACACAAGCCACGCAGCAAATTAGGCTACATTACAGATACATGGAAATTTAGCTGCTGCGAGAATTTGATTGAAGGGTGAGGAACAAATCCCCATAATACATAATATGATAAAATAAATAAACCTTGGAAGAAGAACAGGTATTTAAAGAGGAGTGGAAAATTTTCACCGAGTATGTAGAAAATAATTGTACACAGTTGAAAACGCTGGCAGTATTAAGGTAAATTAAACATTATAACACATTTAAAAGGGATGTAAGATGGGAGAACTGAATTAGATGGACATACAAGAAAATGCAGGAAATGTGGGACTGTGGAAAGAACCTGGGAAAGGGAGGGAGGGGAGTTGTTGAATGTATGGGTATAATGACAGATGATTATTTGGAAATGTAAAAGTTGAATTTTTTTTTTAAACTAAAATAAATAAACCTTGCATGCTTACAAATACTTGAACTTTAAAAAACAAAGAAGCAGAAATGACAGTCAACTGTGACAGCACTAGCAAATATTTCTCAGCTGTGCTGACTTCCGAGAAAGGTATACAGTGGTACCTCAGGTTACATACCCTTCAGGTTACATATGCTTCAGGTTACAGACTCCACTAACCCAGAAATAGTGCTTCAGGTTAAGAACTTTGCTTCAGGATGAAAACAGAAATTGTGCTCTGGCAGCGCAGCAGCAGCAGGAGGCCCCATTAGCTAAAGTGGTGCTTCAGGTTAAGAACAGTTTCAGGTTAAGAACGGACCTCCGGAACGAATTAAGTACTTAACCCGAGGTACCACTGTATGGGGCATAGTGATTTCCTTTGCATGCTTGCATGTAAGGTGGGGGCCAATTTAACATGACATCCTATTATTAAGCATTTGTAATTTTGTGGCGGCTGTTCAGGAAGTACTGCAATCTATGGGCCTTAGCAATATGTCAGGTGCATAGTTGCATTCTTGTCTTGTTAGTGGAGATCTCTGGAGGAAGCATCTGCTTTTCAAGGAGTGGGGGGAAAGGCACAGTTGGCTCATCAGCCAAAACTGGGGGAAATGTGCGGCTTCTAGCTCCAGACACCACTTGGATAACCAGAAGCAGTGCGGGTTCAAGAAGCACTCCTAAACTGCAAGCCGGATTCTGCAAGGGGAGTATGCAACCACAACTAAACCAGGCTGAAGTCTTATTTTCTGTTGGACATTACTGCTCAGGAAGGTCAACAGGGTTTTCTGGGCCTTGTTTGCAGCCCTCTGCTACACTCACCAAAGAAGACACAGATTTGCACCTACTTTAAGCCAAATGCAAGTTTGCACCCTCCTTTATTCACACTGTGAGCCAGTGTGGTGTAGTGGTTAAGAGCGGTAGTCTCGTAATCTGGGGAACCGGGTTCGCGTCTCCGCTCCTCCACATGCAGCTGCTGGGTGACCTTGGGCTAGTCACACTTCTTTGAGGTCTCTCAGCCCCACTCACCTCACAGAGTGTTTGTTGTGGGGGAGGAAGGGAAAGGAGAATGTTAGCCGCTTTGAGACTCCTTCGGGTAGTGATAAAGCGGGATATCAAATCCAAACTCTTCTTCTTCTTCTTCTTCTTTGCAGGTGGAGAGATGGACCAAAAAATAAAGCTTGTCTCGAGCATGGTCGTTTTGTACAACTGTCTAATGACAGAAGCTTGCCATTTTCCTGGCTCAAGAAAAGAAGAGCTGGCCACCTCTCAATTAAAATAATGAAAGCCAGTTGATAATATCAATAAGATCTTAAAGCTTGCGCCGTCTCGGTTTCTCTCCAGCTGCATCCTCTTATGACAAAATAGCCTGTTATTGCAAACGTATATGACATAATATGGAATGTCATGCAATTGTAGATCTGAGATCATGTGTCACAGATGATATATTGACACTGTCTTTTCAGTTTGTGATATGCACATTTCTTTTCCACACCTTCTGCAGATCCTGCAGGAAACAAAGTTCCTCCCACAGTCACCCACACACCTTCTGTCTCTATTTAAAAAATAAGAACAACAACAGATAGTTCAATTATTGCACTGAGGGAGCTGCTGGCATTTTTAGTGTTTGGTTAAGGAATAAAAGAAGAATTGCATGGATGCCTAGATCTGGGTTTGGGGCAAGTATTCTGGGGAGAGATTCCCAGCAGAGATTTAGAATCACAAAACATGGAAGCGTGGAAATATAGGCTGTTACACCTTTAAAATACCCCATTTTAAGTTTTTCCCAAGTTCCCCATTACTTCCTATTAGCATAGAAAGGTAAAGGTAAAGGACCCCTGGACAGCTAAGTCCAGTAAAACTCAACTATAGGGTGAAGCGCTCATCTCACTTATGGACATAGGTGGCGCTGTGGTCTAAACCACCAAGCCTCTTGGGCTTGCCAATCATAAGGTCGGCGGTTCGAATCCCCGCGACAGGGTGAGCTTCCGTTGCTCTGTCCCAGCTCCTGCCAACCTAGCAGTTTGAAAGCACACCAGTGCAAGTAGATAAATAGGTACTACTGCGGCAGGAAGGTAAACACCATTTCCATACACTCTGACCTCTGTCACGGTGTTCGGTTGTGCCAGAAGCAGTTTAGTCATGCAGGCCACATGACCTGGAAAAGCTTCTGTGGACAAACACCAGCTCCCTTAGCCTGAAAGCGGAGATGAATGCTGCACTCCGTTATCAATTTCAACTGGACTCAACCGTCCAGTGGTCCTTTACCTTTTTACCTTTAGCAAAGGAAAAGAGACCACACATTTGATAAGTTGAGAAATGGTTTATTTACAAATTCTTCGAAGGTCAGATTCATGTGCTTTTCCGTACAGCAGCAAGAAAACACAGGCAGCAACACTTAGGTTGCAAAAATGATGAGGGGGGAATCCTAAATTATTGGTTTAGAAACACAACAAATGGCCTATAAGCCATGCAGATAGTCTGATCCTGGAACAACCAGGTCCAAAAACTCCATCATAGAAACACAAAGATGGCTTTGCTAAAGCCATGTGGCCATCTGGGCTTGGAGAAATCAGCCCGGATGTCCTTCCTCATTGGTTACATGGTGGAAAAGAGAATGAACGAAGACTTTGCTAACCACAATTTAAGAAGGATGTTGAGAAGTTGAAACGTATGCAGAGAAGGGCAACTACAATGGACAAGGGTCTGGAAACCAAGCTCTATGAGGAACGGTTGAGGGAGTTGGGTATGTTTAGCCTGGAAAAGAGATCAAGAGGATATGATAGCCATCTTGAAATATCTAAAGGGCTGTCACATGGAAGATGAAGCAAGACCCGAACCAATAGCTTCAAGTTACAAGAAAGGAGATGCTAACTAAACATCAGGAAGAACTCTCTAATGGAAAGAGCTGTTCAATAGTGGAACGGACTCCCTCAGAAGGTGGTGGACTCTGTTTTATGGGAGTTTTTAAAGCAGAGGTTGGATGGCCCACCTGTCATGGATGCTCTAGCTGAGATTCCCACATAGCAGGGAGTTGGACTAGATAGCCCTCGGGGTCCCTTCCAACTCGTCAATTCTATGATTTTGTGATTAATTAATCCAAATGAGGGCCCAACACACTTGGTTGGCCTTGCAGTTGATATCAATTTCCTCATAATCTAAAACGCTTAACTTCAACATTTAACTCAAAATAGGAACAAAATTAATTTAATGATTTGAGCCCGTTGTATTCCACGGCACAACGAGAGAACAAATTTTACAGTTCCTGCTGGTCAGAACCCACCAATTCCAGCAGACTTTCTTGTAAATCTTTGAGGTAAGTTTAGGATGGTTGCAGTTATTTTTGTAACCTTTCCCTGAACCATAACTTCCTCATCAGGCACTTCATAATCTACCTTTGAGACGTCAAGTCCCCAGAAGCTAAACTATTTCTTTCAGCTCTTCTGCTGCACAAAGCAGCCGCCCAATAACCCCCCGGGTCTTTCGCTATTGCAGCCAGTTAGTGTTGGCTCTTCAGAGAGCAGAAATCATCCTTTATCTTTCTTTGTACTGAATGGAGATATAACCTTCCCTCAAGAGCAAACGACATCCTCTGCTTCATGGGGGCCTGAGGATATACAAAGGGATTTGACTGCTCTACCCAGTTAAAACTTTCAAAGCAGAGCAGCCTTATAGCAACGCTCATCCTTTAGCATGGGTTAGGATTCAAGCGCAAAAATCCAGTTTTAAAATGACAAATGTGACTTTCAGAGCTAAACAAATAAACAGGAAATACCTCCTCCAAAGAAAACAGTCTTTGAATCTTATTGTGCTGTTAGGCAGACACCCAAAATGTGTACACCCCCAAATGCAAACATTTCTGCAAACACTGTAATACATGGGGTAGGATTTGTCCTTTTTGTAGTGTTAATGGACAAGCGCTTTTTAAAAATAATAATAATAGTAGTAATAATAATAATAATACCTTTATTGTCAATGTACAACCTGTGTACAATGAAATTAACTGATTAATTTTAGGAATTAATTAATTTTAGGAATTTTGTCTATCCTATTTAAGTTTTAAACTGGTTTTAACCGTTTTGTGTTTTAGGGTGTTTTGAGGCATTTCTTGTACAAAGTGACAAATAAATGTAATAGATAATAAAACGATCGTAAATAATTACGCATGAAAACTTGCCACCAAAATTAGAAAACATAAATAAATCTAAGTTTGAATTTTCAAAGGAAATTTCAGCGAAGAAGTTGTTTTCTCCAAAATGCTTCCAGCGAACACTCAGAGGAAGCACAAAAACAAACAACTTTCCCATCACTTGGTCACCAAATATGCATGGACAGCTTTAGGAGGCAATTCCTATTTCAGCTTTATGTTGCTATGTTCTACTAAAAGTAGTAAAAAAAAGAAGGAGAAGGAGAAGAACCCCTTTCTATTCAAAACATTAATTGCACCTTGCCATTAGAAACAGGATACTGAGGACTGCCTCAAAACTTTCATTTGCTGTGGAAACTGCATAGCTTTACAGTGGTGGCTCCTGCAGCACAACTGAAGTCCTGTTCAGATGTTTACATCCAGAACATAATGATCACAGCAGTAAGATGGCAAGCTTTACCCATGCATTCACTGAACACCTGAACAGACATAGCCCATAAAAAAAGGCCATGCAATTGGGAACCCTTTCCCCTGACCAGGTTGTGAACTGGGGTGCCCGCTGCATACAGTTGTACGTGTGGTATTTGTTCAGCTCTTCCAAACACACAGGAGGTGAAAGCACAGAACTTCCTTTCGAGCCAGTGTGGTGTAGTGGTTAAGAGCGGTAGACTCGTAATCTGGTGAACCAAGTTTGCGTCTCCGCTCCTCCACATGCAGCTGCTGGGTGACCTTGGGATAGTCATACTTCTCTGAAGTCTCTCAACCCCACTCACCTCACAGAGTGTTTGTTGTGGGGGAGGAAGGGAAAGGAGAATGTTAGCCGCTTTGAGACTCCTTAGGGTAGTGATAAAGTGGGATCTCAAATCCAAACTCCTCCTCCTCCTCCTCTTCTTCTTCCTAGTGTCTCCCTCCAGACTTTGGCTGAATGTGTAAGCTGAGGGCTTGTCCACATTTCCCACAGGTGCAAGCAGTTTTCTGAGCCTGGGTTCCAGCAGTTTCGCATTTGTCTCAGTTTCCCCATAGAAAGCACACCTTTTACTGCTGAATTTGGGGGGCAGGGAGCAGCAATTCATGGGAAAGCCGATTGACGTTTAGTCTGATTCAGCAGTAAACCGCAGGCTTCCACAACTGGAGATGTAGCTGAGCGCTGAATGCTTCAATTAGGCTATTACCAGGGGCGTGGAACATTTTTAAAGTCCCACAAAGTTGACCTTCATAGTGGTGTTTAAAGGTGTGGGATCACTCCATGTGTGATGTCCAGTACAATAGCCTGAGGTTGTGCTGGATTGTTCTGATCAAGCAAGAAACTATGCAACAAATCCATTTCAATGACTTAGGCCGGTGCTGCAATCACTAGCCTAATTCGTCCTTGATCGGTGACATAATAGTGCTGTTTCGTTGAAGTCTCCTCGTCTGCTGTGCAGCTTTTATCTCGAGTTAGTGATTCTTAGCGAATAACTCTCTCCCTGTCAAGAGAACGGTTCCTTAGGCCAAAGAAAGGTGCGTCATCCCTTCCATATAGCAACTGCAAGGATGAGTTGAGTTGGTTGCAGCGGGGAAGTGGGGGGAGTTGCGCAAGGCGAGCCCACACACAATTATGCCTCTGGAAATGAGGGAGCCATAAAAACGAGATTTATTTTTTCATTATGAAATTAGAGTAGCTGATGAAAGAGAAAGAAAAGTGGCGGCGGGGGTTTGATGGGAAGAGATGGGCTTTAAAAACCCAGTCTGCTCTCAGTTATAACTCAAGACACCAGCAAAAATTGTTTCCTGTTATCTAAAGAAGGACTGAAGGGACTATTCTCTGTGACTTTTGCAGATTACCACCGACACCCATTCTCACATGCACAAATACCCCTTCTCCAACATCTACTCCACCGTCTCCAACCCAGGCCACAGGTGTTGTAGGGCAGGCGTCCCCAAACTTGGCCCTCCAGATGTTTTGGGACTACAACTCCCATCATCCCTAGCTAACAGGACCAGTGGTCAGGGATGATGGGAGTTGTAGTCCCAAAACATCTGGAGGGCCGAGTTTGGAGATGCCTGCTGTAGGGTATCGAAATGAGGTGATGGCAGCAGCAACATGAAAACAGAAGCATCTAAGACCCCACCACCACCCAAAGAACAAACAAACAAACAAACAAGCAAGCAGGGGAAGGGCTGTACCTCAGCGGCAGAGCATCTGCATGCAGAAGGACCCAGGTTCAATCCCTGACAGAGAGATTTTTAAAGCGCTATTCAGCTTATAAATGTTTTTCACTGAAATAAAAGGAAACCTGCAGATAGGATAGGATGGGAATGTCCCATCTGAAACCCCCGAGAGCCCATGCCATTCTGGGTAGACAATACTGAGTGAGGTGAACCAATGGCCTGATTTGGTACAAGTCAACTTTTTGTGCTCCTAGAACCTCTCCCGCTCCCTCCCAATTCTTCCCAGAAGCCAACCTTTCCCTCAAACCCTTCCGATTAACTCCTCAGTTCTCGTTGCCAGCTAAAACTAGGGACTCGGCTACATTAGTGAAGAAAAAGCATTTTATAAGCGTTAGAACACTGTGGCACCAGATGGTGCTGCGGAGTCCTGTCCTTCGCCAATGTGATTTCTCACTTTGAGGTTTGCAATGCTGTTTTGCCAAAACGCTTTTTTGGTGTGCCTAGATCCCGCCTAGAACCTTCTTCAGGCATTTGGCCTGGATATGCGAGAGCAAAAGCACTCAGAGGGGGGCGCATAGGTAAGGCCCTGCTTCCAGCATCACCAGGTGTTTGTTCTGTTCCATTCCCAAGCTTTGTGTGTCTGAAGGGATTGTGTAAGCATATTCGCATGAATGCACTTACAAGTTTCCTTAAAACCAGGAACCAGGACAAAGTGAGGAAGGCTTGGAAGTTGAAGCACACTCAACAAGACCACTTTAAACCCCTGACTCGCAAAGTGACGCCCTTGGAGGCAACGGGGTAGAGCTAACATACATAGAATCACAGAAGAGATCCCAAGGGGCATCTATTCCAACCTTTTGCCTAACACGGGGCTCGAACCCACAACCCTGAGCTTAAGAGTCTCAGCCTCTACCGACTGAACTATCCCCCTGGTCGTCTACCCATTTCAGCCCTTGTGTGTCCAGACTGAAGGCCTGAAGAAGACATATTCCTTGAAGTATATGTAAATGTTTCTACCAATGTAGCACACTTTATGAGGGCATGTATCAAGGCCGGACCAAAACCTTTTGGCACCTGAGGCAACCCAAAAAATGGGAAGAAAGAGTAAGGAAAGATCTACATCAGGAACAAACTGGAAAGATCTACATTGGGATTTGCTGCTCCTGTGGATCCTGCCGCCCGAGGCAGTTGCCTCACCTTGCCTCATGTGTGGGCTGGCACTGACATGCATACCAAATGCACAAGGTCACCAAAACCCTGGAAGGTCCATAAGGAGCTGCCTTATGGCAAGCAGTGGTACAGTTAGGTAACTATAGATGATGGGCCTTTAGATGGTGAATTTCACTTACTTCAAAATGTGAGTCAGCCGAGCTGCATTTGGGGGCTCTCCAGCTCATTCTCCTATGAGGGCGCCTGGCACCTGCCACAGTGTCCTGCCTTAATGGCACCACTGATGCATTTTTGTTCCTCTAGCCTGATTTTGTCTGCTCTGACTGCCAGCAGCTCTCCAGGGTCTCAGACAGTCTTTCTTCGCCAGTTGACGGATGCTTTGAACTGGCATTAACAGAACTTGTCTGAAGGCAACAAAAAAACTGTAATAACCTAAACTTAACTTCTGAGAAAGCTACCGCAATGTGTTCGTTTTTATACCCCACAGCTACAACTCACTAAACCCGCTAGATATTTGTTTCCTCACAAATAAGCACCATTTCTATTACTATATGATACATTATTATTGACATTTGGGCAAAGTGAAGGAAACAACATTGTTTGGTGTAAAGCAAAACAGATATTATTTTAAGCCGAATGAGTGTTTTGGAACAGAAATCTCTATTATGATGATTGATGTGTTCCCCTAGGGAGTTATATTCTAGGGATGTGGAAGCAAATGTGTAACTGATGGTTTGTTGGAGTGACACCTTCTGAAAGGAAAATGTTGTGTTATTTGAGTGTTTCAAAGGTTTCTTCCGTATCCCTGTGGACAATATCCTTTGATTCTCAGCAGCTCTTGTTCTTGGTATCTTATTCCCAAGCCCTCCCAGACAATCCAGAGGGATTTTTGCACATGGTCTAAACGTCCATTTTTCAGAGCTGCTACTGTAAATTCAAACTCTTTTCAAGGTAGTCATTTTGTCATGTTGAACCCCTGTGCTCCTACCTACATCATTACCCGCTGATTTTGTCCCATTCTCCACAACCTCTTTCCTTAACAATATATTTATTTGATTATATATGCATTTTTGTAGCTTACAATAGAATAACAACAACAAAAAGAGAGTCCTATTAACTAAGGCTGTTTGCTTGCATCGATTTACTCACGAATAAGCCCTGGTTAAGTCAATGGAGCCCTCTTCTGATATCTATAAAGGTAAAGGGGACCCCTGACCATTAGGTCCAGTCGTGACCGACTCAGGGGTTGCTGCGTTCATCTCACTTCATTGGCCGAGGGAGCCGGCATACAGCTTCCGGGTCATGTGGCCAGCATGACTAAGCCACTTCTGGCGAACCAGAGCACTGCACGGCAGTGGCGTAGCGTGGGGGGTGCAGGGGGGGCCGGCCACACCGGGCGCAACATCTGGGGGTTAGGGTTAAGGTGCGCAAATCCACGGGTTAGGGGGCGCAAATCCACGGGTTAGGGGGCGCAAATTACTTGCCTTGCCCCGGGTGCTGACAACCCACGCTACACCACTGCTGCACGGAAATGCCGTTTACCTTCCTGCTGGAGCGGTACCTATTTATCTACTTGCACTTTGACGTGCTTTCGAACTGCTAGGTTGGCAGGAGCAGGGACCGAGCAACGGGAGCTCACCCTGTTGCGGGGATTCGAACAGCTGACCTTCTGATCAGCAAGTCCTAGGCTCTGTGGTTTAACCCACAGCGCCACCCGCGTCCCTTCTGATATCTATAGCATGGTACTATAAATAAGTTGCTACCTGCAGACTAAAATACTCACTTACCTGAGAGTTGATTCCACTGAATTTTGTGGGATTCACTTCTGAGCAGACATTGTACTGTATCCTCTGTTAAGTAGTTCATTGCTTATCCCAATGCAGAACACACACAGCCATTCTAAATCATTTTAATGAGTGGGGGGTGGTTATCTATCTGTTAAAATACCTACAAAAGTACTTTCTTAATACAGACACTTGTTCATACACTGCTATCATTGCAGATGCTTAATGGTGGTAATCTTAAAATGGATGGAAAAACCAAAAATTAATGCAATCTAAGATACCATTATAGACATTGTTGCTACTACAGATTTATAAGGAGACTGGCTTAAATTTGTGGGCCAATTTTTTTAATGAACTCACCTAATTTGCCAGTCCTGAACTTATATGCAGTTTCAGGTGAAGAACAGACCTCCGGAATGAATTAAGTTCGTAACCAGAGGTACCACTGTACTACATTTTTTAAAGATTTGCCTTGAGAGTGTCTCTGTAGCTTACTGCCATGCCATAGCCAGCCTCTCTCGGGAATCTTTGTCAGTGGCATATGGTAAGGATCAATTCCTATGACATACCAGAACATATGAACACTGCAGTTGGTTAGAGTATGGTGCTGATAATGCAGGGATCCTTTGGGTCCCTTCCAACCCTCTGATTCTATGAAAAACCTTGCAGAAAGTGGCCTACATGTCTTGGAGGTTGCAGGGGTGAACAGACCCTAAATCCCATCAGAGTCCTAAAGACTTCATCCTTAGCTAGCAGTCACAACTGTGGTTAACATTCTGGTGGTAGGACTTCCTTGGCTCTAGAATCTGCATGCATGTCAGTCACAAAGTCAAGAAGAGAGGCTTGAGGACAGCAACAGTAGAAGCATCACCAAAACCTTTCAAGCATATGGCCAGAAAAATTCTGACAGTGCAACCCTTGTCATCATGGACATGTCAGAAATCCCCCCCACCCCAATGGCAGGAATCAATCCAAAAGGGATGGAACGAGAAGAGAGTTCAGGGACAGGCTATTCTAGGGAGAGAACGAAAGCAGCCACTCTCCTGACTTGCAGTTAAGTATAAAATATTTTGTTGCTAATTGTGCTTGTGAATAGCACATAAATAAGCAAGGACATGCATTGTTTAGCAGGCAGGCAGTCCTCTAGGAAGGACAAATGCTTTGCTAAATGAAGCTGTATCTTCAGTTCAGGATGACATTTATAAACACTGCTTGCCTTGTCCTCACATTCAGCTATTAGTGATCATTGAAATTCACAGGTAAATGGGAGCTGCTACATATAGCTTAGGTATTAGGGTGCCGCACCATTCATATAGGGGCTCTCCAAAAACTGCTCAGTCAGATGCACACCGCAGTCAAGACAACCACTAAAGAAAGTTCAACTGCATAATCACAACCTCTGAAGATTAACGGTGACAAGTTGAGAGCTAAGACTCCTAGCTGGTCTAAGAGATATGACAACATTCAGATGGAAAGAGAGAGCAGTACCAATGAAGGAGGTGTGGCAGTCGAAGTTGATGGAATATGCAGAATTGGAGAGTCTAACCAGCAGAATCAGTGAACCAGAGGAAAGAATATACAAGGAGGATTGGAAAATGTTTGTAGAATATATGAAGAATTACTGTAAACAGGTCAAAACGTGAGCAGGTTTAGAGTCAATTCAGCAGTACAAGTTGTGTTGAGATAAAAAGAAATCGAGAAGATCTGGATTAATGAGAAGCTTGGATGAATGGAAGCTTGGAGGAGACCATGGAACGGGGAAGGGAAGTTGCAGTTTAATGGATTGTCAAAAAAACTGTAACAGTGAAAATTAAATAAAATTTTAAAAAGAGAGAGATGACGATATTCAGGTATACTGCTGCTGCTTCAGTAACAGACCCCCTCCAGGAAGATACTCAAAGTACCTCTAAGGATCAACCAGAAAACACACATGCTCAAACACCTGTGAACAATAATAAGGTGAACAGTGCCTTGCTCACCTCAATTCTTTGAATGCCTCCAAACTAGTGCCACTGCCCCCTGCCTCAAAGTGCCAGTAATTTACTTTGGAGCAAAGGAAGGTGGTAGTGCAAGCAGCTGCAAGGATGCAGGACACCTCTGCAGAACATCTTTCCAAACTAGGAATGGGACTGGACTTCCAGTCCCATCAAATGAGGGCATTTGCAGAATTTCTGTTTGGGAGAAGGCCACTTTAAAGACAGCCCGTACTCCAGTGGCATTAAACCAGTTCAAGTGACCTCCACCACCCCTCCAAGCTGAAAGGCTTAGTGACTGACTCTCTTCATCCTTCCTCTACAAACAGCCTGGCTAAATGTGATGTTTTCAGCATGTGGGATCTGGAGAGTGTGGAGTGCACATTTTTAAGAACTTTCCCCAACTCTGGGGTGACGTCATAGGCAGGTTAAGCAAACAGCCAGGATTTCTGTCTAGCAGAGAGGACTCAAACTGATTCAATAAACACGCAGGGGGAGATTAAAGGAGGGCTTCAAATTGGCTTCATTAAACGACAATTATGATTTCTACTACCGAGTGGTCTCCATCAGTCTTTTGCAGGGTTTGTTTACGTAAGGTTTGCCATCTGAATTGCACAAAGGAGAGTGGGGAGGGTCTCTCTCTCTTTCCCTCCGAGACACAGGATTTTTGCCATGACCTTTTCCTCTGTTTTGATCCCATGCCCTGCCATAGGCATGTTTAGAAACCTCTGACCTTTTCTAAAACTTTCACAAATACCTACAGACAGGCATGGAACCAACTCACGGCAGAGCTAGACATGACACTGGGATTTCTGGGAAGTGTAGTGCAGCAGAGAGTTCATAATGGGACTTTCTTTGGACTGTATCCAAACACCTATTGGCAGCCCACAGTTGGTGTTCAGTGCTCGGAATTTATACAATTACAATAAAGTAAGGTAAAGGGTAAAGGGACCCCTGACCATTAGGTCCAGTCGTGGCCGACTCTGGGGTTGCGACGCTC